ATTTAAGGAGTCTGGAATGCTATGTTTGCAGTTCTGATTGATGATGATGTTGGGTTCACACATCAATTTGAAATTAATGAGCTAAAATCGAGCTGTTAACAGTTTTAACAATACCTTTACTTAATCAGACTGGGACATGCCTGCGAGCACGAAAATGCAAATCCCTAGAGCATCTGCCAATATAACTTGCTCCACAAGAGCAGTTGAACTGATATGTACAGAAGAAAGAGATGGCTAATCTTATTAATTTATCTTTCAATCTCGGATTGACCATCGGACATAAAGAAAACATTAATTGTGGTTTTCCTTCATTAAAGGTTATTTGAATTGCTCTGTGGAGCTTTGTATCAATATTTTGCTGAGTGCAATGCCTAAAAATTGAAGTCGTGACTTAAATCACTGAAACGATTTCTTTTTGCCCTATTTTCTTGGTTAAACGTTATCCTATTATTGCCTAAAGATATTCATCTTCTTTTAGAGCGTTACGCAATGCATTTTTACAATATATACTCATGTCTGTAAGCTCTCCAGATGCAGCTGTAAAAGAAACAAGACAACTTGATTAACGTTCATACAACCTTCTTATGCACTTTTATAGCTTAAAATTACCTTGTTCATATTTATTATTATAACACTTAACCACACATTCCGAGATATTTACTGAACACCCAACCCAATTTACTAATTCTTACTTAATATTGTTCTACATATTACGTGATTTTTGACCAAATATTTATTTTGATTTGTAATTACATAATCATCTGTCTTACCTTCTGTTGTCCAGGTTATTAATCATACAATTTCATTTAACATATCAACTTACTCATATTGGTCATTTTACAAACAACCCTGAAATCACATGTTATAATTCTAAACGATATAATTGCCTTAAACCTGGTCATTTTTTAATATTATGATTTACAGGATTTGAAGTGAATTTATTGTAATGAAAATTTTTCGTTCCCATATCTGTGTTTTAATATGATGGGAAATTTTCCGCGAATACCTTAGGAGATAATTGTATCATTCAAGCCACTTCTTCCCCCCCCTCAACTATTGAGCCAACGTTTTTTTCAATACTGGCAAGCATAATAGGCAATGTTTTAACCTATACCACATATATTTTATCCACCTCAGTCGACTAAGGATAGTACAGTGAACACTATATAGTGAACTCTTTGATTGATTAATTAATCAGTATTTCCATCAAACTGATCATCTCTTGATTAATTAATGTTTATTATTAATGGCACCAACTTTTTCTAATACCTAGTTATAAGCTGTTCAATTCACTGAAACAATTTAATTAAATTGAACAATCTTAAGTGCTATAAACATGGTCTTGAAAATCTCTTGAATTATGAAATAAAAACAGACGAATTCTAGTGGCTGATCACTCATATTATCTTGTCTTTAGAATATACTTTATATTTATTAAAGTTCACCCAGTTTAACTAAACAGAAGATAGAAAAAAGCTAACAAGAGAAAAAGAACTCTTTGGATAATTGTTCAATGCTGGACTTTTAAATCGATTTGACTTAAATTAAACTTTTCTCTTTAAGTATCATGCAATGGATCAGTTTAAGCTAGTGTAATTTTTCATTCAGTACTGAGATTTCGTAAGACCCTCACTCACCAAGACTAATGAGACTTCCAACATAAACGAAGTGGTTAATGAACTCGTATATTTACTCCATATGATCAATCTAGAAGATGGTGCAAACCAATCCTGAAGCAATATTAATCGTTTTTGTTAAGATACGCTTGCAATGATTATGAAAATAGACTACACTAAGACGTTACGAAGATGAGAGAAATGTGGTTAGAACTTGTATTACTTGACAGTTGATTATTTTTATGTATCACCCAGCCCATATACTCAAGTTATACGTAGAGTTTATTAAAATATCTCTTAACAAAGCAAATCTTGAGTATATTTATAAATTATAGTGTAATGAACATACGCGAAAGTATTCGGGAATGAAAATCATAGAAACAAGTAAACAGCAACGATAAGAGACCGGATGAAATCTTATAAATTAACGGTATTGATTTATATGAGCTGATGAGAATTCTCCATGACGTTCGAGCTGATGACAACCAGAGCTTCGAAATTAAGCCGTCCTGCTCAAAGGACGCGACTCAACCAACGAACATCCCCCTTGAGTTACAAATCTTCATTTTAGATTTTCGATAATGTACTGAGAAGACGAATGTTATCACAATTATGTGATATATTTTCGCTATACCTTTTGGATAATCTGATCACACATATAGACATTTTATGTGAAAAATAAAAGGTCAACTAGACAAATTAAAAGGTAAGCGGACACAAAGATAATGATAAAGTAGACAAAATCAATGTGAAAACCACATTGGATAATAAATCAGTACTACCAAGGTAGGTTAAGGGTAAAAATAAATCGTTTCTAAACATATAAAGGGGGGTTTTAGTTTTCGTATAGCCAAAGCTTCAATAAGCCTTAGAACACACCCTTGGAACTTGAGTACAAAACTACAAAGGCTGACTTGATATCAACCTTATGACCGGTTTCAACAAAATGTTTCGCAATAGAGAAAGATATTTGTCTATCTGGTGATCTGATTTAACCATTAGAATTCATTTGTTTTTGTAGCCATTTAGGTATGTGTTCAGATGGTTCCTAATGTATTACGTAAATATATCACATAATTCTGATAACTTTCGTCTTCTCATTGAATTATCGAAACTTATCAAAAGGACTGTTTTAAATTTCAGACTTTGTTCTAATATGCATCTACGTCACGTGATTACTCCATCAATGTAAATAAACGATCGACATCACATATCTCAAATGAATTTTCCATTAATTTCACAACTAGACCAAGGTTTTCAGTATCAATGTATCCTTCACATCATAACAAAATAAATGTCCGCATCTATTTATACAAATGTGGCTTAAGAGAAAGCTTGTGTAGAATACCTTAGTTGTATTTTTTTCTATTTGTAATGTCTATGACACAGGACTGAACAGGTGAGGTCTTCACTAAATGTTAACATATCAAAATTGCATGAGTCACCTAAATTGACTTCGTCCCCCTTTGCGTAATAGAATGACTAATAATAAAATCTCACAGGTTGAAATCATGAGTCAATTGAAGCTAGACCACCATGGAAAACCTGGAAGCACTGGACGGCCGTTTCGTCCTAGTATGGGACTCCTCAGTATACATATCTCATGCACTTCGTTCTTATCACTCGCACAAAAACCTTGACCTATCCTCACTTATATCAATGCGTGTGAAAAATTGTGGACACACATTCGACTAGAGAAATGTTGAGATCTTGGATAGGGGGGATTCTAAAAACGCCAGAGAATTTTTAGAAGCTTGGCACTCAGGTCAATCAGCGATTAATAAACACATTGAAATCGATCCAATTTATTAACCAATCACAAAAATCGTGGACAAATATAGGACCAAGAATCAAACCAATAGAAGATACAATCAAAATAGAGAAGCAAACAAGTTAAAGGTCAACATTAGCCAATCAAGATCGAGGTCTGAAGTACAAGCTGTGAGTCATTTGAACAATTCACTTCAATCTGGAGTTTGTGCTGGCGAAAGCTTCACGACCAAAGAATCCAACTCAGAGAATCAAACGCCACCAAAATTATCCACAAATATTCTCTACCACTTACTCTCATTCTTGTTGTCATTTCAGTCCCTTAATCTTGCATTTATCAACACGCAATATCGATACTATAATAAAACTGTTTCTAACGCCGCACGTAATGAGCCATATACGTGTTTTATCCTATCGTTTGCAAATGGTCCACAAAAAATATAAATCAGACCATTTGATTTGTCGTGAGGTAAGTACAAAATGTTGTATGGTATTGCTTTAATCTGATCAAACCTTGATTGTTTTTTTTAAAACTATCTTCGATTATTCCTAACAAAAATCATTACAATTAAAGGTTGTTGCTATATTGATAAACCTCCATTCATGTTTGTATTAGTCTTTGAAATATAGCAATATTCAGCATTTAAATTCTGAGACGTCTGAGCATCTCTTTGATATATCACCAAACTTATTTAACAATATAGTTCAACAAAATACTTCAAATTCAGTCAGGAAACGGAGTTTACACTCAACAACTTACGAGTAACACAGATCTGAAACCCCATCACTCTGGATAATAAGCTAATATTACTGGAGTAGGTTTAAGGTGAGAACAAACAGTTTTTGAATGCACATATGGGGTTTAAATTTTCGTATGGCTAAGGTTTTTATTTTTATATATAAATGTTCTTAACAAGTATATGTGTGATCAGATTGTTCGAGATATATTGCGCTAATATATCACATAGTTCTGATAATCTTCATCTTATTACACTATCGAAATTTGTCAAATGGACTAATTGCTTTAAATTTCTTTTCCATTAACCTAACATTATACCTCTATTTATTAACATGTTTCGTTATTAATGCGGAAATTTACAACATACAAGAAGCGGCAAGTTAGCAGAAATACAAATTCAGGATTATACACGAAAGTAATAAAGAATTAAGGAAGAGATTCAAAGTTGAAGCCTAAATATTCCAGCCCTTTTCCTGGAAGTCATTGCTCATTTATTTTTTAAGTAATCACATGTCATATATGCCTCAGTACTCTTATATATATATATATATATATATATATATATATATATATATATAAAGCAAGTCAAAGAAAATGTAGAAGGCGAATGTAGGTGTACATATTTGTAAATTTATGCAATCAAAATAAAATATTCACGACAATCTGGAATGATAATTGACGATGATGACAACCAATCAGTTAGTCGTTAATTGGTTGTTAAACAATATTAATATTGTTAATAACAAAATACAAAACAGTTATTGTTTTAACAAAAATGAAGAATGAACAATAAATTATCACCAGTATAGACAAAAAATTCATGATGTATTTGTTGAGAATGTAGATGAGTAAGTTTTTTCATTGTGTTTACCTATTCACAATGGTTTATAACTACCTAATTGTGATTTACAAAGTGGACAAATATGGACAACATCTTGTGTTGATTTCAAATAGAAAGGAATGAGACAAAAGATCCATAATCTGGTAGAGAATTGCAAAGAAAAGAGAAAAATATGACTTCATAATGTGATATATATATATATATATATATATATATATATATATATATATATATATATTACTGTGACTAAACAAAGATTGTAAAATAATCATAATCAAATGTTAATTAGCTATTACAGAAACTGAATTCGACACTTCTAACCAGATATAATAACAATTTTTACTGTAATATATAACAACAATAGTAAGAATTATTTACTGAATTATTTCATAATAGAAAATATCTGTGCATTTAGAGAAGTCAAACATTTGATTCAGTCTATATATTTTGTCGGGTGAAATGATGGTTGGAGGTAGTCGATAGAGGAGCATCAGTTCAGATACATCTTGTTGATGATTGCCAAATAACACGAAACCTATGTCCAGGGTTTTCTGTCTACTACCTCGAACCACCACCTCAACATAGTGCAGGCGATGTTGAGTCACCTAGACTAGTGGTTACATTGAAACTTCATTGATGGAATTCGATCTGCACTGAGAAGGACCTGATACACATGACATTGGTCACAACCCAGTGATTAATCAATTGTAAATACATTTTATTAACTTGTAATATACAGTTGATTAGGCATTATAAAATGATAAACAAGAATTGTAGTAATTGAATAAGCTTAATTTGGTTTCGGGTAACCGGGTAGGGCAGTTATATCACTAGTCCTTTTCATAATAGGTATCCCATGAATAAGTTAGTTAGTGAATTAACTTTTATCATAAATAATTGATAAGAGATATTTTTACAAAAAATCTAGAAGTAATAGATTTTTATGGAGAAATTTCACTGATAATTGAAACATCAGTACAGTTAGAATATTAATATTTAGAATCAAGATATATATTAACTTCAAGATTTTCAATACAAATGTCAAGACAGTTCTACTGTATGGGGTGGAAACTCAGAGAACTACGGAAGCCATCGTCCAGAAGATACAAGTGTTTATTAAAAGTTTACTACGCAAAATACTTCGGATCTGTTGATCAGACACTATCAGCAACAACCTGCTGCGGAAGAGAACAAACCAGATTCCAGCGGAGGAAAAATCAGGAAGAAGCGTTAGAAGTGGATAGGAAACACATTGAGGAAAGCGCCCAACTGCGCCACACGGCAGGCCCTCACTTGGAATCCTCAAGGTCAAAGGAGAAGAGGAAGATCAAAGAACACATTACTCCGAGAAATGGAGAAAGACATGAAAAGAATGAACAAAAATTGTGTAGAACTAGAAAGGAAGGCTCAGGACAGAGTGGGTTGGAGAATGTTGGTCTATGGTCTATGTTCCATTGGGAGTGACAGGCGTAAGTAAGTAAGTTTAGAGTATAAACTACGTTTATTGACTGGCTAAGATAATATACGTTATATCAAACACATTAAAAAGTAGACTATTTGATTACTGGATTTTAGGTATATTTGAAACATAACTGTTGATAATGACAATGATATAAATACATTTCATAGTTAAATATCTGTAATTCAATGTACGTGTTGTTGATAAAAGCTAAATTTCTATGACTATAGAAAGACAACGTTACAAAATAGCGAAAATTACATGCTGAATTGTTATCTAATGTATAAGATGTTATTAAAAAAGGAAAAACATTTGTAAATTTGAGTGAAGAATTATTTCTAACTAAAACAAAATTCATTTTGTAACTAGAACTCACCCAGTTAAAAACATAACTCCACAAAGTAACCAAGCTAATAGTCCTGACTCGGACCTCACTTTAGTAACAATAATATGATGACAATAAGGACAAGTCATAGCCACCGGATTCCATTTGAATACAGTTGCAGGTGGTTGTGTAACAATAACTAAAAAAAACATGAATATTTGCACATAGAAAAACAAACAAACAATGAATTTGGTTAAACTTTTGAATTTTCTCTAAATATAATTCTATAATTTGACTACAATTCAAGAAAGACATTTACAACACCAAATAATATTAGAAACTTCACATGTTATATAAATAACAAGTGATAAATTGCTGTCAATAAACAAGCTAGTAGATAGAACGAGGGAGAGGGAGAAATATGCGACTCTAAGTTCAAATAACTCCGCCTGTAGCTCTTCTAGAGTTACTGCCGGTCCCAAGCCCGGGTAAAGGAGGAGGGTTGGGCATGGGGTTAGCGTCCCCATCCCGTAGAAAACTAACTCGCTAAAAAAACGCTTACCAGAAAAAATAATTCAAACCATTTTAACTCTGCCCTGAGAGTTAGAAGGTCTTCATTTAGAAGAATTATGACGCTTCATGGTGAAAGCCGAGTTCCTTCGGAAGCCATGAGGCCGATGCCCCTTCTAACAACCAGAGCAAAAATTTTTATAGGTACATGGAACGTCCGAACAATGTGGGAAACCGGGAAGACCAGTCAAATAGCAATGGAAATGAGGAGATACGACTTAGCAGTACTGGGGATCAGCGAAACTCACTGGACCCAAGCTGGACAGAAAAGACTAGCTACGGGAGAGATGCTGCTATACTCCGGTCACGAAGAGGAAAATGCTCCACACACTCAGGGAGTTGCTCTAATGCTGTCCAAAGTAGCACGAAATGCACTTGTAGGATGGGAATCCCACGGATCCAGAATCATCAAAGCATCATTCAAAACAAAGAAGGAGGGGATCTTAATGAATATTATCCAAAGTTATGCACCCACCAATGATAGCAACGACGACATTAAAGATCAGTTCTACGAGCGGCTGCAGTCAGTCATTGAGAAATGCCCAAGAAAGGACCTCACCATTCTAATGGGAGATCTAAATGCCAAAGTCGGAATAGACAACATCGGATATGAAGATATTATGGGGCAACATGGACTGGGAGAGAGGAACGAAAATGGAGAAAGATTTGCAAATTTGTGTGCATTCAACAAATTAGTCATAGGAGGCACAATATTTCCACACAAGCGTATACACAAGGCTACATGGATCTCACCGGACCACACTACAGAGAACCAGATAGATAATATTTGCATCAACAAAAAATTCCGAAGGACAATGGAAGATGTGAGAACCAGGAGAGGAGCTGACGTAGCTTCAGATCACCACCTAGTTGTAGCCAATTTGAAACTGAAGCTAAAAAAGAACTGGACAACTGGACAAACAGCAATACAATGGTTCAATACAGCCTTCCTTCGAGATACTGTCAAACTCAATGAATTCAAGATAGCTCTCAACAACAGGTTCCAAGCCTTACAAGATCTACTGAAAGAAGAAGAAACTACTATGGAGGACAACTGGAAAGGCATCAAGGAAGCATTAACTTCAACGTGTCAAGAGGTTCTCGGTCTAAAGAAATACCATCATAAGGAATGGATCTCTACAGAAACACTGGACAAGATCAAAGAAAGGAAGAACAAGAAGGCAGCAATAAACAACAGCCGAACACGAGCAGAGAAAGTCCAAGCACAAGCTGAATACATAGAAGCAAACAAGCAAGTGAAGAGGAGCACTAGAGCTGACAAGAAGAAATACGTGGAAGAATTAGCAACGACGGCAGAAAAAGCTGCTAGAGAAGGAAATATGAGACAACTTTACGATACAACGAAGAAACTAGCAGGGAAATACAATAAACCAGAGAGGCCGGTCAAAGACAAGGAAGGCAAGCCAATCACTGAAATTCAACAACAGCGTAACAGATGGGTAGAATACTTCGAGGAACTCCTGAATAGGCCGGCTCCTATGAATCCACCGAACATCGAAGCAGCACACACAGATCTTCCTATAGATGTCAACCCACCAACGACGGAAGAAATTAGAGCGGCCGTCAGACAAATCAAGAACGGGAAAGCAGCAGGACCCGACAACATACCAGCTGAAGCACTGAAATCAGACGTCGAAGTAACCACAAGCATGCTTTACCCTCTATTCAAAAAGATTTGCGAGGAGGAACAAGTGCCAATGGACTGGAAAGAAGGGCACCTCGTCAAGATTCCAAAGAAAGGAGATCTGAGCAAATGTGAAAACTACAGAGGCATAACACTACTGTCAATACCAGGGAAGGTCTTCAACAGAGTTTTGCTGAACCGGATGAAGGATGCAGTAGACGCTCAACTTCGAGATCAACAAGCTGGATTCCGTAAGGATCGGTCGTGCACAGACCAAATTGCAACACTACGGATTGTCGTCGAACAATCGGTTGAGTGGAACTCGTCACTATACATCAACTTCATTGATTATGAAAAGGCATTTGACAGTGTAGATAGGAGGACATTATGGAAACTTCTTCGACACTACGGAGTTCCTGAGAAGATTGTCAACATCATCCGGAACTCATACGACGGACTACAGTGCAAGGTCGTGCATGGAGGACAGCTGACAGATGCATTCCAAGTAAGGACCGGGGTCAGACAAGGCTGTTTACTCTCTCCCTTTCTCTTTCTTCTGGTGGTCGACTGGATTATGAAGACCTCGACATCTGAAGGAAAACACGGAATACAATGGACAGCTCAGAACCAATTAGACGATCTGGACTTCGCAGATGACCTAGCCATCCTATCGCATACACACAAACAGATGCAGACAAAGACAGCCAGTGTAGCAGCAGTCTCTGCATCAGTAGGCCTCAGTATACACAAAGGGAAAACCAAGGTCCTCAAATTCAAAGCGGAAAACAGCAATCCAATCACTCTTGATGGCGAAACTCTGGAAGATGTAGAATCCTTCACATACCTGGGAAGCATCGTCGATGGACAAGGAGGTTCAGATGCAGACGTAAAGGCGAGGATTGGCAAAGCAAGGGCCGCATTCCTACAATTGAAGAACATATGGAATTCAAAACAACTTTCAACCAATATCAAAGTGAGAATCTTCAATACGAACGTCAAGGCAGTTCTAACGTATGGAGCTGAAACTTGGAGAACTACAACAACCACAATCAAGAAAGTACAAGTATTTATAAATAGCTGTCTACGCAAGATACTCAACATCCATTGGCCAGATACCATCAGCAATAGCCTTCTGTGGGAGAGAACAAACCAACTTCCAGCTGAAGAGGAAATTAGGAGAAGACGATGGAAATGGATAGGACATACATTACGCAAATCGTCAAACTGTATCACGAGACAAGCCCTAACTTGGAATCCTGAAGGGAAGCGGAAAAGAGGAAGGCCAAAGAACACATTACGTCGGATAATAGAAGCAGATATGAAAAGGATGAATTACAACTGGAAGGAGCTGGAAAGGATTGCCCAGGACAGGGTTGGATGGAGAATGCTGGTGAGCGGCCTATGCTCCTTCACGAGGAGTAACAGGCGTAAGTAAGTAAGTAAGTAAGTAAGTTCAAATACCAAATTACAATCACAATATACAGTGTTTCCAGAAACATAAAAACGATAATATAGATTACAAAAATAACAAATTACTAACGTTACCGAGTTGAACAACACAAGAATATATATATAGTGATATAATTCAACGTTGAAATATCCCAAATATAGAATGCAATACTAATATAACACTGTCATCAAGAGATACAACTGATTACTTACTTACTTACGCCTGCTACTCCTCGTGGAGGAGCATAGGCCACTCACCAGCAAGATGCAATTTATAAAATAATATAATTTAATAATAAAATTATATAGGAAATGCAAGAACAACTAAAATGACCAAAACCCGATAGGGTTTACTTCGGATACACTTTTAATCTATTTCGTAATTGCATTACAATAATTTATAAAGGAAAAACTGAAGTATATTTACTAATTTCCTTTGGATTTTCTAGAATTTAATCATATTACAAGTTGATTATTAGTATTTACTTAATTACTTACACCTGTTATCCCTCGTGGAAGCACAGACCATCAACTACGACTCTCGAACAATCACTGTCCTGGAAAATCCTTTCCAGTTCTAGGTAAGTGTTATTCATTTTCTTGATATGTATCTCTAATTTTGTCATATAGTTACGGTAGACGAATGTAGTACTACCAGTTCACTTGTACAACGACATCATTTCTGTGGGAAAGGTCAACTGAACCAACATTGATGAATTTTAATTAAGCCTTATTGATTAAGTAATATAATCAATTGAGATTTATAAAAATTTCGTGGATTAGTTGAAGTTAGACATTAACAGGTTTTTCATGGTGCTCTAGCTTCAATTCTTATTACATTTTGCTTGTAACAATGTTAGACAGATAAGTGCCACATTAATTGTTATAGACATTTTATAAAACGTATACATGTATCACTATCACGTGAACGGCAATCACATTTTTTCATTGGAGTAGTTGAGATCATGAGTGAATTGAAGCTAGAGCACCATGAAAAATCTGTTAATGTCTAACTTCAACTAATCCACGAAATTTTTATAAATCTCAATTGATTATATTACTTAATCAATAAGGCTTAATTAAAATTCATCAATGTTGGTTCAGTTGACCTTTCCCACAGAAATGATGTCGTTGTACAAGTGAACTGGTAGTACTACATTCGTCTACCGTAACTATATGACAAAACATTGAAACATTGTGAATAAGTTTTGCATATACTGTTGTTAGACAGATGAGTGTTCGTTAGATGACATTTCCTATACAAAATCGTTTACTTGAACCGTATAGTTGATAAAGCTTAAAAGGCGTTTACAAATACGTGGACGATAATCACATGATGATTAATAATCTAAAATGAATTTTCATAACTTCATCACTTGACCTTTGCCATGGAAATAAGAAAGTGAAACAAAACATTTAGATCATATTATGGGTGGTTCTGATAAGGGCTTTTTACTCGTTCTCTTAATAGTTCCGAATTTCATGAACAAAGGAGTTGCTATGATTCCGTTATAGCGTCACACATGGGACAGTGGATTCCATGAACGTGTGGTGATGGGTCGTAAGCACAAAACAAATGAAACATTGCTTCGCATGGACAAAAAACCCAGGCACTTCCATCAGCAGTTTCATGTGGCGGTTGTGCAAGATTGCAAATATCACAGTCTGTTGTCATACGCGTCTTCGTCATTGTCGTTGTCTCGTTCAGTGAACTCCTTTGAGCTAGTCGAAACAATTTCCTCCTCGTCAGTGCTTAACGTTGCATCCATATCGACGTTATTTTGATAGTTGGTAACTTACAAAAGATGAAGGAAGGACATTAAGTGTTCACGGAAGTCCTTTATGAAAAATTAAAGTAACACTAATCAAATTACCTCCTTCGTCTACTCGGCTGTGAGGGACCGCCAGGTGTTCTACGGCCACTTCTTCAACATACGAATTTAATATACGGCTTCCGATCTCTATGGAAACGAGAATCTCTCACCGCATAATGGCAGTACGTAGCTCTTTCATAAGTTCTAATGGCGCTCTTCAGCGCTTCAAGTGATTGGAACGCTACAAGATACAATGTACTCAAGAATAGGTTATCGGTTTCTGTGACAACGTGAGAAACGACAGAGCCCGCACTCTGTACGCCACTATTTCCCATAATTGGAAGAAAATGTGCTCTGTCGTCAAGTCCTGACAATTTATAACAATTTTAGGAAATAAACAACCAATTATAACGAACTTAAAACTAGCTATTTGATTGGACGAAACAGAATGAAAATTATTGGAAGACGGGGATGAAAAAAAATTTAAAAAATGGACGTGCAGTATTTGAACTTGTGTTAATTTCATTTTGCCTATTTGTTTACCATGAAGAGGTGACTTACATTAAGTCATGAAATATCAGAAATACAGTTTTCTATTCATTGGGATATCATAAAAATATGCTTATTATTAATCTTTGTGGGAGTTCTCTGCAAAATTTTTACGTACAAATAAAGAAAATTTTACCTTCTGGCAGTCTTTCTTCGTATTCTGGAGGAAGTGGTAAAGTAACGCTTTCCTGATAAGTAGGTGGAGGAGTCGGAGGTAAACCAGGTACAGGAAATGATGAAGGAGGAGGCGCAGATGGAATAACTGCCCTATTTAATTCTGATAAAGAATTGTAAACAAAATAGGGTCACACTAATCAACAGCCATGTAATTGTCAATAAAGCTACGATTATGGATAAAGTTTTCATATGTTATTCATAAAGCGTAAAAAATTATACATAATGCAAGAAATGTACCTGGGATTGAGCTTTTATATAATAAATAATAAATCAACAAAAACTTCTAAGTAGTTAAAGAGCAGATAAGAGTGTATTCATGGTAACCAATAGGTTTTGGTGACCCTATATCTGACTCCAGGTAGGTCGTATGAATAATCGTTGTCGAAATAGACGTATCGCCCATCCTCGTATATATTTATTTGACTTAACTCGTGTTAGTGTATAAAGGAATTAAATAAGTCAAATACGAGAATGAATTTCGAATACATATATTTCATACAAACATTCATCCAGACAAACGATCGAAGAAACGAAGTAAGGAGAGCGAAGCGAAATGACGTGCAGTGGAGAAAGCGTATGAGCCAACTCGATTTAATCAAGGGTTAACCGATTTTATAGTCACACAAAAACAAGTTACAGACATGTGATAAGAAGTGTACACACATACGCTCATATGAAAATAAAGTTGATAAGCTAGTAGCTAACATGGTCAAAATGTGACTTAAGAAGGGTGAATAAATTGGCTTGTTCGGAAGCTAGAATACCCTATGTGGGCTTAACATAGCAACCGACACTACAAGGTACATTTTACCAGACATATATGAAGGGAACTAAGACTATTTACTTTCTAGTTCTGACATAACAGTTTGTCTAACATATAGATGAACGAAGACCATAAAAACTTCATAAACTTTAAAGCATATCAATATCAGGCCTAAATACTCCAAATTTGTGATAACGTATTTATCCCATTCCCATTTTTATTGTCTAAAGTAACATTGAAGGTTTACAAATGCTAAGCCCTTCACATTCATCTCAGAAGTTTTGTAAGAATCGTAGGCACATATGATTTTCTCAAACTCAGCTTATCAACGATTGTCGGAAAAGTGAATAAGCAGTCAAAAAACACGGGAAATCATATATGATCTAGTTTTTAATCAACACACGCAGGAGGTCAATTATCATCCTGGCTTCACTGTATAAAAAATCATAAATTTATTGTTTGGCATACACGAGATATTCACCATTTGATGGGACGAAATTGATCGCAGTGATGTAAATGCATTCATCCTCTATCCTTCATTAGATTTAATTGTCCAACACTTGTTACTTTTAGTTCTTTACCATTACTACTACTACTAACAGTAACTCTCATGCAACGAAAATAATTATACCTTAGGTCTTGACTACACCAGTTGTCGAATTCATAACTGAAATATGATGAAAAGAATGAAGTAAAATGTAGTTCCTTATTTCATCTTGCAGAAAATTATAGAATAAACAGTTTACAATAGACACAAGCAGAATTAACTAGAATAAGCTGTTAACCATATTTCCATACTTGTTCTTTGAACTATATTTTCATTTTGAATGCATTGAGCCCCAAATCTGTTTGCTGATGATCTTTTGGACAAGAAAGCATCATTATGACCACATTTGCGTGCCAATTTTCCGAAGCGATTGCAATAATAACAGTCAGATCTTGTATTTGTATGTAATGGTCGGGATGACGCCTGAGCAAGTCGAGGTACAACTTTTGGTCCGTATACTGGGTTTTGATCACGATGTTTCTACGAATTACAAATGAATATATCAGGTAATATAAAAAGGATAAATCATAAAGTTACTACAAACTGAAATGATGTACCAGAAACAACGTAATCCCATTTGATTGATCTCGAATACAGTGGTCTTCTCTTAAACTATGAAATTAAAATCGCTTCATATCTTTCTTTCTACGAACTAATTTTTCCTTCCTGTAATATGTCCTTATATGCAATTTTCTTTTATATATTACCACCACTGAATTAACTACATCTGTGGATCTGGTTTTCATCTTGTGCTAATGAGTTATGGCAATTTGAACCAATGTACATATGTGCCTGGTCCTACGTTGTAGCTGACTGACTGATCTCGAAAGCAGCTTTTCTCAGTTTACACAGGATGTAACAGAAATTCTCTTGCGACAGAGAAATCAGTTTGACCAATATAGTGTCTAAAATATTAGCGCTAATAATTATTCAATTCTTAACTAGAGTTTGTTTAGAGTAAAACTGGGAAAACGACGTTTTTTTCAGATGTGGATGTATCGATCGAGTTCTGTAACATAGACAATTTTTTGACGTTCAACTCGTGTGTAATTATTGGCCTTAGGGTAGCGTTTGACTCTATTAATCGTGAGATTTGGCATTAAAGCGCATACTAAAGGAGTACAACAGCCTTATATTTAAAAATTACCAGTTGAGTTAGAGTTTATGGAAAACTGTCATCATAGCTGTCCAATTTTTCAGTTCTGACTTAACTTCATATTCATTTTATAGAGATAAAACTCTCGTCCTCTAACTTCATTGGAATCAATCTTTAAACAGGCAATTCAGTAGTTAACTTGAAGTACGCAGATGATATGATTTTGTTTAGTAAGAAGGCTGATAAATAGTCTTTTGATCTCCTTCGGCAACAGCGTATACATGTTCGAGATGCGTTTCTTTTCCTTTAAATGCAGAATTTCCAATCAGGATTAGTTTGGATCAAAACCTGAGGTAATGAATCTTTACTAACTAGGGTGGTTGGAATATGTATTACATGTAATATATGCCCAATCACCGCCTACCTAGACAGGCGATGTTTGGCGTAGTAGTAGGCTGAAGGAAGCTAGGAGCAGTCAAACCAAGACCTAACATCAGTATGAGAAATCAACTAAGAGTAGACAGATTTACGTGGATAGCTGAAAACTACCTGGTTAGTCCCCACAATTATCGTAACCAGTAGCTGAAGACTTTGGACAACATGGTTCTGAATCGATCGCAATGGCATACATGCATCTTATTCCAGACCTTGGGTTTAAAAATCTTATATTTGTGCTCTGATTTCTACACCTAACTGTTTCTACTACCAATGATACTCTTGATAATTTGCTATTCAGTAATTTGTCTAGATAATTTCATCTCGCTCTACGAAGTGGATGTGGCAACTTTAACCAATGTGCTAGCTTATACGTTGGATATGACTGAGTAACTAGTTTTGATGGTCTCACAGCATGAAATATAATATACTGTATGAAAACAGTCACAACTAGTGTTTCCGAAAAATATACTTTCGATTTAAACTGAAGTTTGTCATATGGATAGAAAATTATTAGTGAAGCAAGCGGCTATTGATTTAGGGCAGATTTCGCTCGTCACCTTCTACTATCGACGGATACTGAAAATCATCTAAAATAACCGATTTTCCTCACACCTACCAACACCCAGCCGTGCAGTATTGCTATACAGTTTTTCGGTCAACTTATATGCTTTAAATAATAGTGATGATGAAAGGCGTGCTCGAACAACACAGCAAAGCTGCAACTACGGTTACGGTGGGTTTGTTGACCGTATACGCCAGTACATTTATTCCACTAAAATATATGTGGCATGCAAGACTGCAAACGTCATGCATTACCTATAAACCTCAACCGCAAGCAAAACAATATAAAAGAATCAACTATCCATAAGGTCAATACTGCAAATTCAAATGTCTTCTTATTTTAATATATTTGAAGATTCTAGAAATTTTCAGGAAAATTAGGACAAATATTTAATTTGATTTCAGATACAAAAATTCAAATATGTTGGTTTTCCAATCGCTCCACTATGCCACATATAAAACCTGCTACTTGTATTTTAGCTGGTTGTTGAGTAAGGCGATTTTCTGGATTTCACCAGTTTACCGTTTACACAGAATTTCAGGACTTACCATTGTCAATAGCAGCTGAAAGTGACATTATATCGGTCCACGGGAACCGAGCTTTTCTATCACTTGGTGTTTTTGTTTCCTATTACTCCCTTGGAGCAAAGGGAGACAGTTTTGCGAGCAGAAAAAGGTTATCTAAAAGGTAAGTAAACTAAATGTAATAAACCAAAACCTAGTATACTCGACAGATAATATCAAGACTCAGATATACGTCCTAACATGGGGCTAATTCAAATATAATACATTTAATCCAAACTTTCTGTCGTGAGAACACCGGTCACAGTGCGACAGCATATGATGTTAAAATCGCATTTAACGTGAGTCTCTAAAAATAAGGACAGGAGGTAAACCAACCTAGATCAATCCTTGCAATTTGAAACACTAGGGAGGTTAATCTCGTTTTGACTATATCAACAGAAGGTGCTGACATTATGTATTCTGGTAGACAATTCTAGTAGATCACTACTCGCTTCGAGAAGCGGAACTCAAGACATAAACGAATTGATCTCGGATTTGGAACTTTCTTAGAATGTCCTCTCAGATGATCAGTCTTAGATGGAATGAAAAGATAAGATACATTAATACCAAGGTCGACGTTCAGTATATATACCCCCAAATGCCCTAGTATGGCCGAGAGGGGGTGGGTTCGCCCTCCCTCTCGAAATACTCTCACACGGCCACGCGTATACAGCCTCTGCCAGGGAAGTCCTACTCACTGCCTTCTCGTGGCGGGGGTGTTGTTTACGAAAATGAGAGGACGAAAAGCGAATGTCCGGCGCTTTAACCGGATTCCAAACCAATGGTGCACATGGGCTCCAGTATCCTGTGGGAACAAATGGCGTATGAACCAATCGTTGGTCACCTGCTACCATGGGACTGCATCTCCTTACGATGCTCCACTGCCTTGTGGGTTAGACCTTTAGGTCAAAGGCTCGGGGTGTGGCCCCAAAAGATAACCACCTGCTTCGGTCTGGGCACCCGGGCAGTATCACAGCCCACACACAAATATGATGAACTGCCTATAATTATGGAAACTACTTTACTTGCTTCAATTAACAATGAAATGATTCAAATGATTATTATTATTACCACATTATTCACCTTCTTTTATACTTATACAGCGGCTCGTCTTTGGTGGAAATCCGACTGTATCTAAACGTTCTCCAGTCACTGTCCGGCTGAAAATTGTATGTTACCACCGAATATGAGTACTGGAGCAGTTTTTCTGAAACCACGTGCGCTATTCAAACTGGCTGCCTTCAACGTTCGCACACTTATGCAGGTTGGACAACATATAGCGCTGGCTATGTCTTTGGAAAGTCTTAATATCGATGTCTGCTGTCTATCCGAGACCCGTATTCAAGACCCTGGTGAACTACTACAAATTCCCCCATCTGTCGCTTTGAAAAGCTTGTTTTACGTGCGCTTATCCGGGGACCCTGTGGTATCTTCGTCTGGTCTTGTTGGCGTTGGTGTCGCACTAAGCGCTAGAGCTGAGGCAGCACTAATCGATTGGATCCCCATTAACAGTCGGTTATGTGCTGTTAGATTAGAAAGTTCCATCAAAGTGAGAAGAAATCGGCGTGAGAAACGATGTCTTTTCGTCATCTCCGCCTATGCCCCGACAGATTGCAGTCCGGATGCAATTAAGGATGAGTTTTACCACCAGTTATCTGTTCTTCTCCAGAAAGTGCGTTCGACAGATATTGTAGTACTAGCCGGAGACCTGAATGCTCAGGTCGGGCGTCTAGGCACAGAAGAGAGTCGTTTAGGTGGCCGATGGGGACTTGTTGGTCGCAGGTCAGATAACGGGGACCGTCTACTGCAACTGTGCAGAGACCACAACCTGTTTGTGGCTAGCATTAACGTTCGGCACAGTCATCGCCGATGTGCCACCTGGTGTCCTCCCTCTGCATCCCAAGCCTGGACTCAGATTGATCACATCGCTATCAGCTACCGCTGGCGTGGTTGTGTGCAAGACTGCCGCTCCTTTTGGAGTACCTATCTGGACTCTGGCCATGCCTTGGTCTGCGCCAATCTTGCCTTACTTTTCAGTGGACAACGAAGTGACCGCCACCAACGGATTGATGTTAGCAAGTTGGTTGCAACTTTTGTTGCTAGTAAGTATCGAACCGAGCTAGTTTCTAGGCTAGCCACCATTCCACCGAAAAGTATAGATGAGCATTGGTTGCAATCGCATGACACCATGAAAATGGCGGGTACAGTCAGTTGTGGGTTCGCGAAACGTTCCGCTTATAAGCACTGGGTTTCTTCAGGTTCCTTAAAACTCATTGAAGCCAATCGGTCTACTCCGGGTGACCGTGAGTTTGACCACAAACCAAGGATGTTACGTAAGGAAATTGGGCAAACCTTGCGTAAGGACCGAGAAGCCTGGTGGTCGGTGCGTGCTAATGAGTTGGAAGCAGCAGCTGCATCTGGTAATTACCGGAAGCTCTTTCCGCTCATCCGAGCCGCTGGCAGCAAGAAGTCTGGTGTGAGCGAAACAATCTGCGAGGATGACGGGATGCCAATCACTAACATCCATCGACGTCTTGGATGATGGTCAGAATTCTTCGAAGGGCAGTTCAACTGGCCTGCTGCTCCGGCAACATCGGTCAGACTGTCCTGCCCTCCATGGCCGGTGACGACTGATCCACCAAATGAGGCGGAAGTCCGCAAGGAACTCCAAGTCTTGAAGCGCTACAAATCACCTGGCCAAGATGACTTACCTCCGGCTCTTTTTAAAGATTGTGGTGACTTTCTAACTAGGGAATTGACGACGTTGTTTACAAAGGTTTGGGAACTAGAGAGTGTACCAACGTCATGGAATGAGTCGATAGTTGTCCCTATCTTTAAAAAAGGTTCACGTCGTTCCTGTAACAGCTATCAGGGGATAAGTCTACTTCCGATTGCGTCCAAGCTATTGGCTTCCAACATACTTCGTAGACTGTTCAAAATCCGAGAAAGATTGACTCGCGAGGAGCAGGCTGGGTTTCGTTCTGGTCGAGGATGTGTTGGTCATATCTTCACCCTCCGCCAAATGTTAGAACACCGTCCTACTTATCAAAGGCTAACAATCGTAGTGTTTCTTGACATCACGGCTGCCTTCGATTCGTTGGACAGGATTGTCCTCTGGGATTGTCTATTGAAGAAGGGTGTGCCTGAGAAGTTTATTAACATCTTAAAGGCCCTATATACAAACACCTCAGGTAGAGTGAGGGCATACAACCACCTCTTTCCATTGTTCCATTCGAGCAGTGGGGTTAGACAGGGTTGCCCAATCTCACCATTCCTCTTCAACTTTGCCCTCGTTGACATTCTGGAAACAGCTCTGATGAATGTAAGTAATGGTGGTGTGGATCTGTTGCCTGGAGAAAGACTTCTCGACCTTGAGTATGCGGACGATATTGTCTTACTGTGCGGTAATGCCCAAGCCATGCAATCCGCACTTAATCAGTTGGCAATCAGTGTCCGTAGGTATGGTATGTGCTTTGCACCTTCGAAGTGCAAAGTACTTCTACAAGACTGGCAGGATTCTAATCCTGTACTCACCCTGGATGGTGAGCAGATAGACGTAGTCGAGAAGTTCGTGTATCTAGGTAGCTGCATAAGTACTGGTGGAGGTGTGAGTGATGAGATCAATGCACGTATAGTGAAAGCCAGAGCGGCTTATGCCAATCTGGGCCACTTTTGGCGCCTTCGTGATGTTAGTCTGGCTGTAAAAGGTCGGATCTACAACGCGTCGGTGAGAGCAGTTTTGCTCTATGCTTGTGAAACCTGGCCTCTCCGAGTTGAGGATGTTAGAAGACTCTGTGTTCGATCATCGTTGTCTCCGAGGGATTGCTGACATCCAGTGGCAACACCATGTTAGTAATGCAGAGGTTCGGCATCGTGTTTTCGAGCACAGAGACGACAATTTAATTGGTGTCACCATCTTGAAACACCGACTTTGGTGGCTTGGACATGTTCCACGAATGTCGTCCCAGAGAATTCCACGTCGTGCATTATTTGCCGACTCTGGGACTGGTTGGAAAAAGCGGAGAGGTGGTCAGTGTATGACATGGTGTCGTGGCATGAAAGAAAGTTGCAAAGGACTGGCTTCTGTCGGTCCTTCACGACTCTCTGGTTGTGGTCCGAGAGATGGTGCAACAAATTGGCTAGAGACGTTATCAGATATGGCTCAGAATAGAAGCCAGTGGCGATCCTGCTGTAACCTTCTTTTAATTTCTTCATAAAATGTGGTTGTGTCTCCGCTAACTGAAAGATTTCTTCTGATTGTACCTTTCCGTTCCCTGATTATTACTATTATTATTACTACACTGCCTTACACCAACCTCTTCGTTGCTGTTTCCTTTTTTTACTCTCCTTACCTTTTTTCCTTCGAATTTTCATTGTTTTGTGTGGCGCATATATATTGGCGCTCTCTTGTACCAACATTTATGTGTTCAAATAAATAAATACGATGCTCCACTGCCTTGTGGGTTAGACCTTTAGGTCAAAGGCTCGGGGAGGAGGAGGTACATGAAAAGGAAATTGGATTACAGGTGGTCTTAGTGACCTGGGAGCGTGACCGCAGCGCCCAAGGGACAACTGCTTGAAGTCGGTCACACACGACCTTTTTATGGGTAATTTTTGTGCTAGCTCCGTACTTGTTGAGACCTTACTGCCGGAGACGGATATCCGTGGGATAAGGCGAGGTGTGCATTTTTAGGGTCGACCTTTTCTAACCCCACCCCTCCTTGTAGGAAGGCAGCATCGCTGTCATGATGGTTGTCTGAAGGAAACACCTTACTGCTGTCACACCTCTGTACAGTCAGTAGTACGACTTCGCCTTCGGACCTCGGGTTTGTTGCTTTTAGTCTTACCGCTCTTCAACCGACCCGTCTAACATGGTAGGACGTTGAGGAACGGTTGTTCCAGCCAGTATAGCTCGGTTGCTTCATAACGATAGGCAAGCCCGACCACCACGTTAAGGTAGCAACAACGGTCGGGAAAGGCTCGGGGTG